GGGGCCTTGGTGTTATCAGCACCGCACTCTCCCGAGTGAGCCACGGGCCGGCCCCAAAGAAGAAATTTTTTTAATTACCCATATCTTCACTAGAAGTAACTGCCGATAATGGCTTATTTTGGTAAACTTTAGAGAAGGTCATAAGTATACAGCTTAGTGATTTTTTCACAAAGGGAACATAACCGAATAACCAATACCCATTTAGGAAACAGAACTTTACCAGCACCTCAGGAGCCTCCCCATGGTTACCAAAAGTAGCCTTTATCCTCACTGGTAATAGCAAAAATTAATCTTGCCTGCTTTTTAGCTTTATATAAGTATAATCATATAATACATACTCTTCTGTTTTCTTTTGCTCAACATTATGTTTGAAAGATTTATCCATGTATATGTACTCTTGTTCTTTGCTGTATAATGTTCCATTGTGTTAATGTATCACAATTTATCTGTTCTGTTGTTGATGATGGGACATATGGATTGTTTCCAGTGTTTTAATGCCTAAATCTCTTATGGTGTTTTCTGTTGTAAATATTGCTTTGTATTTGGTATTTTAGCCAGTTAAGGCCTATTCTTGGAATGTTTATTATCCTCTTAAGTGAATCATCTTGTGTAAAAGCTAGAAAAACTGTTATTTCTTAACCCACATCCTCAGAGTGTTTTTATTACTCTTGGCAGACCCAGAGTTAGTTTTTTCTTCTAAGTTTGAGGTCTTGGATCATTGTTACTGGCCAAGGGAGACTAGTTGCTGTTCCCTTTGCTGACCGTCATTCAGATCGTTGAGTTAGAGGAATTGTTGGAGAACAAGTTTTCTGGTTTTGTGGTTATACCAGAACTTGGCTGCCGTTCTGGTTTTCAGTGAAGAGAGAAAAATGTAATCAGAAGCCTTTGGGGGTGGGTTTGGTATCTGAGCTGTACCTGTCAAGTTAAGGTGGCTCACACTAGTGTAGGAAAGTGCTGAAGAGCAGATTTCATACTGAGGGTGGATAAGAAATCCTGAACAGCTTGGATGCATATGCCTGAGTTGTTGCTGAGCTTCTGACAGTTGTATACTGATGTCTGTTTTTTACCTACTATAGCAGTCGAGTGGGATGTCATGGCCAGCTCCTCGGACAGTGAAGATGACAGTTTCATGGCTGTGGATCATGAAGAAATTGTGCTGGAAGGGACAATGGAGCAAGATGAGGAGCCCCACCCAGTACTGCAGGTTGAGGAGGCTAGACATAATAGGTCTATGTCAGAGCTGCCGGAAGAGGTTTTGGAGTATATCCTGTCCTTTCTCTCACCATATCAGGAACACAAAACTGCAGCCCTTGTCTGTAAACAGTGGTATCGACTTATCAAAGGTACTGTGGAAAGGAAAAAGGCTTCTTTATTTTATATTTCATTAAGTGATTTATTTTTAGACTCCCAATTTCATTTTCTCTTTTCTCCCTAATTGTGGTTATAAAATTTAGTATTAGACAATTAACACTACATTTTCCTTTTTTTCCTTACCCTGGTTAGTTTTATGAACAGCTTGAATATTACCATATTTAATCATGTTTGCATTTTTAAAATGAGGATTCTTTTTAAAAGCTATATTCTTAGAGTTGATCTGGTAAATTGTACTATTCCTGAATAGGCAAAGTGGGGATGGATATGGGGTAACAATAATAGCTGACACGAATATAGATTTTACCATGTGTCAGGCACTGTTGTAACTGCTTTACAGTCTCATGGCAGACTATGAATAGGACGTACTCTGTTTTACAGGTGAAGAAACTGAGTGAGGCACAGTTAACTAATTTGCCCAAGGTCACACAGGTAGCAAATAGAGGATTAAAGACTCACATCCAGGCAATCTGGCTTTGGAATCCATGCTCTTAGGGCCAGCCCATGGCTCACTTGGGAGAGTGTGGTGCTGATAACACCAAGGCCACAGGTTCGGATCCCTATATAGGGATGGCCTGTTGGCTTACTTGGGAGAGCGTGGTGCTGGCAACACCAAGACAGGGTTAAGATCCCCTTACGGTTCATCTTTTAAAAATAAAATTAAAAAAAAAAAGAATCCATGCTCTTAATGAGGATACATATTGTCTCTAAAGTAGCTAATTTTGGCATTTCCCACTTGATTTTATATCTAAGCAGCATAGGCCCTATGCATATCTTTTACTCTTTAAAATGTGTTTTTTCTTTTTTTTCATCCATTTCCTAATAAAGATTTTACATTTTAGCTAAATGTTGAGGTTGCTGTGTTTTTAATTAACAGAGAGCCGTTATTTGGTTTCATTTCATTTCAAGTGGAAAGGGCCCGTTTTTTGTCTGAAGGTGACCATGCTAGTTGAATAACCATTGATCAAAGCGAGGGCTAATCAATTTGTTTTTTCTTGGTGGGAACAAGGCAGCCAAATGATGACAGAGAAAAATCTTTTGATTAGAATCAGTCAGTTTTAAAATCTTTTCCTTGCATTAGGGTGTTCTTATGGGGACAGGGTTTTTGTCAAAACCCAAAGTCCATCCGGAGGGCTAAGGACCAGCTCTGTTGAAACTGCTTGATGGGCCCTGTGCTCATTTGATCACAACTCGTAATACTGGTACGCACAGCCTGCTTCTGTTTTCTGAGGTAATGAGCTCTTCAGGAGAGATTGGCTCCTTGCACTATGGAAATACATGGTTTTCCCTCTAAAATAAAGGTGAGAAAATCACAGGTGAAAGGCTGTGATCTAATCAAATAGGGGTATATGAATTTGTCCTTAGGTTTTATTTGGCAGTCTTATCATCTTGAGTTTTTTATTTTTTATTTTTTATTTTATTTTTTTATTTTTTTTGTCTTTTTTCCGTGTCCGGCAACGGATCGCAACCCTCAGTGTTGCCCCCGTACCGGACCGGGGACCGGCAACGGGATTGCAACCCTCGGCATTGCTCCCGCGCCTCGCTCAGCCAGTGAGTGGGAACCGGTCTGTATGTGGGATCCAAACCCTCGGGCGGGAGCGCCGCCACACTTCCCAAGCGGCGCACTATCCAGTGCGCCACCGGGCCGGCCCCGTGTTTTTTAATAGAGAGGAACCCTAACCCAGTATTCACAGTCTTAAATCTTGTTGTGGAAGTCACTGCAAAGATAGTTTTGTTTGTTGGTTTTTAATTTTAATAGAGTTTAATTTTTTAGAGCAGTTTTAGGTTTACAACAAAACTGAGCAGAAGACAGATTTCCCATGTCCTCACTACCCCCACATATGCATAGCCTCCCCTGTTGTCAGCATCCCCTACCAGAGTGGTCCATATGTTATAACTGAACCTGTATTGACACATCTTTTTCATGGAAAGTTCGTAGTTTACAGTAGGGTTCACTCTTGGTGTTGTGCATTCTATGGGTTTGGACAAATATATAATGACAGGTGTCCACCATTATAATAAAAGTTCTCTCATTTTATAAAAAAGTTTCCTTAGTCTCAAATTCATCATTTTATAATTCATTGTAAGCTAATTATTATTTCCTTGTTTAAGATGGAGAATGCTTGATTGCCATGGTCTTACTGCAGATATTTACAGAACACCTGATGTATTCCAGACACTGTTTATCATACTCTTTTCACAAGGCTAGATTATCCCCCAGTCCCTTTGCTTTGGAGTAATTAATACCAATTATCTTGATGTGTTGCCTCATGATATAACATAAAGGGGACTGGAGTTATAGTATGAACTAATTTTGTAACTTCAAGCAAGTCATTTAACCTCCCTGAACCTTGGTAAAATGAAAAGATTGAATCTTCCAGTTTCGAAATTCTATGATTCTGTTTCGTTTCTTTGAATGAAAATCAGAAATTTGGAGTTCCTCAAAGAAACTTATGTTTCATAAAAGTGGTAAAACAGTTAATAGACACAGTTTTAATAATTTGACCTACAAGTTAAATGTCCAAGCTGAGGCATTTGTTCTTTTTGTCCACAGGTGTAGCCCACCAGTGTTATCACGGTTTCATGAAGGCTGTCCAGGAGGGAAACATTCAGTGGGAGAGCCGAACCTACCCTTATCCCGGAACTCCAATCACTCAGAGGTTCTCACACAGTGAGTATTTACTGTGAAAGCACATCCCACTCTGCCTGTGGTCATGTTTCTAGAAACTACTTTAGAGCCATGTATTTTATGTAAACTTTTAATGAAGCGAAGGTAAATAAGAGTTTATATTAATTTTATAATCCGAACTAGGGAAAACTATGAGCCTAAAGATATTGTCGATACTTTGTTAATAATTTTATATTCTGCTTTTTCAGTGGATTTTTCGATACTCTGTAGAGGTCAAGGTATTATGCTTAGAATTTTAAATATTTGACATCATGTTAGAGGAAAACAAAAGAAAGGCATACATGAGGGCATTTCTTTTTTTTTTTTTTGTCTTTTTTCGTGACCGGTAAGGGGATCGCAACCCTTGGTGTGGTGTCGTCCACACCGCGCTCAGCCAGTGAGCACACTGGCCAGTCCTATATAGGATCCAAACCCGCGGCAGGAGCGTTGCTGCACTCCCAGCGCTGCACTCTCCAGAGTG